TATGTACAGAGAGAGAGAGAGAGAGAGAGAGAGAGAGATTTTAAACAACCAAAATAAAATTGGTTTGGTGGAAGCGTTTGACATAAAATATTTAGAAAATCCTTTTTTTTTTCTTTTAATTGGGAGAATTTTGAAGTTCAATGTCTGATAAGATCAGCGGTATGAATAATATTTCTAATGATGAAAATAGTTTAACCTGTAGCACAAGTGTAATGATATAAACATTCATCGTCATTGTGAAGCAAATCTTGATAGTAAATCAAAGAGACATGCGAGAAGCACAAGCACAGGTGAAAAGGTGACTGCAGGTATATGAATAATCATGACGAAAGCTAACAAACAGTATATGGGGAAACCTTCCAGTGTATGCACAAAGTTTCTGAGCCAGGAGGAAGCAAAAAATAAATAAATAAATAATGTTCCATATTGAAGCAAAATCTAAAGGATGCTGTAATTTTATGTGTTTAAGTACACTGGTGCCCTCCTTAAATTCTTGCCAAATATTATTCTGTCCCTTTTCTTTCTCCTAGAGCCCTTCCCAGCAGGCTGCCATGCTGGATAACGACCAAGAGGGTGTGTCAGGAAGCAATCAATGGGCTCCCTACTCACTTGGCAGGAGAGACGTCCCACCTGACAACCTCATGAAAAAGGTCAGAGCTCACATAAATGTATGGGAGGGAGTAAAAATAAGCAGATGTGTTTCTTTCAATTTGCACAGGGAGGCCACTCTCACAACACGATGATTGTCACCTCGTCATCCTCTTCCTCGGCCACGACACCTCACCGTATGGTTGGCCAACAGGGTTATGATGGTGGAATGATGAATAAGGGGGTCCAATATCAGCCAGGAATGCCTTTATCAGTCGTTCCGTCAGGAGGGCAATATCAAGGAAACGTGCCTCAAGGTAAATGCTAATCTACTTTATGGGTAATTGGTTCTGACGACTTGGGGACTTCACGATTTCGATAACATTTCCTCGGAAAGTTGAATTGTAGTGCATCCATCCTTTGTTTTTCCTATCTAGCGCTTAACACTCCTGGCCAGGTCTACACAAGTGCTGGCCTGCCCATGGCCCTCTCCTCATCGGGAAACCAGTCCCAGTACAACCTGCATACATCCCACACATCACATCAGCCCTCACACCCTCCCAACAACCCCCAATACCACAGCAATCAGGGAATGGTCCATAACAACCAGGTTGTTGTGACGACCCACACCAACCCACGGCCTCAGAGCGCCCGTTGTCTTCTCCAAACTAAAGGCCAGAAGAGCACTGATGGTTTCCAAGAACAGGTATTTTACGCTTTCCTTCTCATCTGTCTGTCTAATGCAGCCTCATCCGCTGCAGTTCCAAAGGTCACTTTTGAAGGTCAGTGGGCAAGAATGTTGTTGTCATTGTTTCGTTAAAAATGTTTGTTTTGTTTTCGCAGTTGACATCTGCTAGGAAAAGCAATGTTTTTGACAGTTACTTCTTGACTCAAAAAACTTAGTTTACTTCTGTTTCCCAATTTAAGTAACCAAGAGGCATGGGCCAGTTTACCGGTTTGACAGTTTACCAGAGTTGAGTAAATGAGCCAAAGAATTCTCCAATTAACTTTTCCCCCTTCTTCTCGGTGAGCAGAGAGGAGAGACGAAGGGTGAGTTACACACGGAGGAGGAGGGCGGTAGCAAGACAAAAAAGACACTAGAGACACGGATGCCTTTTTGTATCATCCAAAAAAAGAAAATTGTGCCAACAGGTACTAGTTTAACCCAAGGACAACATGAGTGTCTGTTGTAAAAAAATAGCTCACCCGTGATTGGACACTGTGACTTACTAAGAACAATTAAAACAAAAGAAAAATGTTAACATTTATTTATTTCTGTTAATGTGACATGGCACCCATTTCTTTTGTACCAAACATTCTATATTTTATTGAAAAATAAAATTAATTGTGTGCAATTGTATTTTCCCAAATATTTAAAACAATATCATTTTAGAGGTTTAATTTTAGCGCATTGATACTGCAATATTTTTCCTCGCCGTTAGCATACTATCAGAATTTAATATCACCCCACGCCTACAAACCACACAGTAATTGCTATTCCTGAATGTCTGAGTTTTGTATTGGCAACTATGCTGTATAATACATTTCATTTTGCCAGTCTATCATTCCAAATTTTTTGGCAATGATTTCTTTGACGCTGAAGATTCTGTGAATAGTGCTACTACAACATGAAAAATGTCCGTGTTCATTCAATTCCAACTTTGTTGCTTGCAGTATACTTCCAGTTGTCTATGTTTCTTCTCTGTTTCTAGTTGTGTGTGAGAATAGAGAAGAACCCTGGTCTTGGTTTTAGTATCTCTGGTGGCATCAGTGGTCAGGGGAATCCCTTCAAACCCTCCGACATGGTACGACCCAACCCAGCGTGCCGGGCAACCACAACCTCCCCAGATTTGCTCAAGAGATGCAATAGAAGCAAAAATGCTCTATAGCACCTTTTGCTTGTTCTGTCTGTGTTTGGGCATCTGATATTGACCTTGCTAATGTTACCGTATTGGCCCGAATATAAGACGATGTTTTTTGCATTGAAATAAGACTGAAAAAGTGGGGGTCGTCTTATATTCGGGGTCTAGACATTATACCCATCCATGACGCAAGATGGCGCCAGATATCATTGAAGCGAATGCTGAACTTGACTCCCCAGGCCAAAGTGAGCCCCTGTCACGAAGAATAAAAATAAAAATATCGGTAAGAAAGAAAAGAGAAAAAAATAATAGCAGAGATAACAGAAAATAGAGAAACGTAGCGACAATCTGGAGAAAAGTGGGTCGAAGATCGGCCAGGTTAACCGGTAACTGAGGAGAAGTTACGATTTCAAAAACCAGAAGCGATTCATTTACGAATGTGATTGCACTTTAGATTACATATTTAAATATTCAGATATTAAGATTTGAATGAGGCAAAATAACATGCTTTTTCTCTCAAATATATTATTATAATCATTTGTTTCAGATGTACTGTAATTATTTTCTGTATAAAAAATAATTTGGTGTTCAAAAAGTCTTTTTTCAAACTTGAGTCTTGAAAAAGGGGGTCGTCTTATAATCAGGGCCGTCTTATATTCGGGCCAATACGGTATATCTGTAGGTGTAATGTTGTCTTCGTTGGACTTACTTAGTTTGAACTTTCCAGTGTAAGGGTAAGTTTCAGTTGCACTCATCTACACGATCACTCCAATATTTAAAACTGTGTTAGTATATTTAAAACTGTGTTAGTAAGCACAGGGCAGGAATTACAAATATGTGTTGACATCATCAGATAGGAATACAGTGCTTAATTAGACCACCTGTCATAAAAAGGCGACAAGACCGTCCGGCATGCTTTAAAGGGGACTCTTTCAATTTCAATGAGTACTGAACATTTTAACATCTTGAACAGGAATAAGCAATTTCAAACTGAATTCAGTTTTTGTACGCAAATTTGAGGCAAGTCATTGGGCTTTGTGTAATCAGAAATTAATCATAACAATAATAATAATCAGTAATTGAATGTGACGTTGACCTCTTATATACACACAATGATTTTTTTAAGACAATAAGGTTTATCCAGCCATCATTTTCTAATCTCCTTATCCTAACAAGGGTCATGCTGGAGCATATCCCAGCTGCCTTCGGGCAGTAGGCGGGACACTCTGAACTGGTGGCCAGCCAATCGCATGACACACGTTGACGAACAACCGCTCGCAGTCACGCTCACACCTAGGCACAATTTAGAGCAGGGGTGGCCAACCAGTCAGAGACTAAGAGCCATTTTTTTTTTTTTACTGTGTTACTGCAAAGAGCCACATCATACCCTTCCTCGCGCGCGCCCACACACACACACACACACACACACACACACACACACACACACACACACACACACACGCGCGCGCGCATCCACTTTTTCGCACCA